ACACTAAAATGACTTACTGAGTATGGTCAGTTCACAGTGACCAATGCTGTTGGCAGATGTAAATTCTTCAATATTCTTTGAATGGCACATTGTTGTTGAACATTTTGCAGGGTGGAGATTGTAGTGCTGCATAAGAATATCCTTATGAGTATAGTCAAATTTTCGAGGGCTGCTTCCTGGGAATACCTGGTTATAATGCAGGTGTTCTGTTATGCTATGGGCAACTTCTGACCACAGATCACTTTCCCATAAATCTTTTGATGATTTAGAAACATCATTTATCTCTTTGTTGCCTATAAAAAGGTTACAAAATAAATAATTAAATGTTGAAGGCAATCTGTAATAAATATCTCTTGCTTTTGAATAATATATATAAAAAAATAAATAAAAGTAGAAAATAGCACTCCTAGGACTTCATAAGAGTATGGTGAAAAAAATAACTTCGCTTTTATTCAGCAACTGCCACAAAGTATCAACGTTTCAGTTCTATTACAGAACTTTCGTCAGGAAAGTTCTGTAATAGAACTGAAACGTTGATACTTTGTTGATACAGTTGCTGAATAAAAGCGAAGTTATTTTTTTCACCATACTCTTATGAAGTCCTTGGAGTGCTATTTTCTACTTTCCTGTTTATATCATTTTGCTTTACTAGCACCGGGCTCTAATATAAGACTACTGGAGTGCAAGCATTTTGACATTTTTATTTATATATATATCGAAAAAGTTCATTTAACAACAAGTAACCAACAGAATACGAAAAAAAAAAAAAAATCATTTTGTGATGGGTTTACATGAATTTGGTTTAAATTAGAGCAAAATTGTTGTCTTGTCTGCCAGGCTCAGTCAAATAAAAACCAGCAGGGGCAGTGAAATGTACCTTCTTATACTGTACTATGTTCCAAAAGTTGAAGGTGCTATACAAAGGGGGAGGGGGGGGGAGGGGGAGAAAGTCTCAGGATGTGCGTATGCATATTTTATTTTATATTATAAAGTATCAATTATAGTCTGAGTAAAACATGTTGTTTGTACGAAATACAAATGCCCACCAGACCTCATTAAGCTCTCCTATAGCATATAGAAAAGTAACCATTAAGCCATCATTGCATGCATAATTAATTCACAGAGGGATCAATTTTACACTATATTTTATTGAGCAACATCAATTTAAATAGTACAGTTGTTAACTTAAACCACACAAATAGCTTTTGTAATTTGCCATACGAAATATAGTGGCAGATGTGAAATTGAGACGGCCTAGTGAAAATGATACCGTTTGGCATGGATTGCAAAAGATAATATTTTCAATATTGATTGCAAAGTACAGCAAACAAAGATGTTTTAGGAGCACAGTTACTCAGATCCACAATCAAACAACATGAACATTAGGTAAACACAGTAATAGCAGTGCAAGGTTTATGGCATAACTATCATATAAAAGCTACAGGTTATATTTAACTCATATGCCATAACCGTTTAACAGAAGATATTTTACACAATAATGTGCCAGTTATTCCAAATAACAGTTCATGTACAATTGTGAACATTGCATGACAAGATGCTGAACAGTACCACAGTAAAATGTCCATACAGAAATGAACAAAGGTTTATGCTAGTAATTTTTTTTTTTTTTTTTTATATAATACAGACATTTTTAATCCCTGCAGAAAATCAGTTGAGAATAGGTATTACAATAACGGAAAAAATATGGGATTTGGCTTGTATTGCAATTTTCAATTTTACTAGTGCAAAAAATACTATTTTTGTGAAAGGCTGCAGGGAATAATGGTGGAAAACCAAGAACTGTTCTGATTGAAATTAAAGCTGCCTTTTGATTGGAGCTTTGTGTCTAGAATTTGTGCAGGTGAGAATAAGTTAATGGCAGCATCCATTTTATATCAAAATACAGGACTCCTTCGGCAATAACAGAAAGAAAGCCATTACAGAATGTCGCTAGATATTCTGTTTTATATAAAAGGTAAAATAGGTCTGTTCACAAGTACTGAATAGGAGAATGGAGTGTGCTGCCCAAGATCCTCCAGTGTCTGTGGAAGTGGAAGGTATCACTTCCCATCTGCTACCAACACCTCTCACACAAGGAACACCTTGCAGGAGTAGCATGGACAGCACTGAGTGATGCACATTATGTAACAGCTACTGCAGCACACCAATCCATTATAGGAGTCTGACAAAACTACAGAAGACATTGTAGGCTAAGTACTCCACATGCTCTAACCATAAATGCAACCCCCGTCAAATTGAAAAAACAAACCAAACATAAATAAACAAAAAACTTTACCTTAACTCTAGATTTAAGTCCTCCTAAATACTAAACACCTCATGTGGGGGAGTAGGGGATGACATAGAATTCTAGACCTACAGGAACAGGACATATAATCTGGCCCTGATGTTAGCTCCAAACCATCTTACACTGTAATAATACCCCAAATCACTTAAAGGACCACTCTAGGCACCCAGACCACTTCAGCTTAATGAAGTGGTCTGGGTGCCAGGTCCAGCTAGGGTTAACCCATTTTTTCATAAACATAGCAGTTTCAGAGAAACTGCTATGTTTATCAATGGGTTAAGCCTTCCCCCTAATCCTCTAGTGGCTGTCTCTAGTGGCTGTCTCACAGTGAAAATCACAGTGAGAGCACGCCAGCGTCCATAGGAAAGCATTATGAAAGTTGTAGATTTGTATTACAAGTGATATCCATCATCTTATGTATTAACATACATCTATGTATTTTTGATGATTGGATATATTGTATGTATATTTCATCCATAACACCAAAAGTTATACTTAGCACATTAAACGCATTGCACAACGTCTTCGGAAACCAGGATGCTTAACCGATGCAATCAAACATGCAGTCGACTGGTAGATCAGCAATAATCAAGATGATGTCATTTTAACCATGCAAGTAACAGTGGAAATGTTGGTAAATCCAATGCTTCTATAACTATTCCTCATTAAAATTACTGAGAGGTAGGATTGAATGGTCCATGATTAATACTGTAGTAGTAATGTTTAAGTATTAGTGGGCAGCTCTGAAGGTTTTGATGAAATGTAGCTTTGAACTAATTTTTCCTGATTCATAAAAGGTTATTATAAATTTTATTTTATTTAAATCAGTTTGGTCTATGGGTGATACACTTATTAATCCTGGCCACCAGATCTACAAGGCTCACAAATATATCATGGAGCACGTCCCCTCTGTCCATGTTAGAAGAAGAGACAAGGGGGTATTGTCAACAAAATGTACCTGCTGAATCATGGGACTCCTTGTCACTTCCCTCTAGTTCGATTGCTCTAGGCACAAAATCACTGTCTTCATCTTCATCACTGAGAGAAAGAAAAACAAACAAAAACAGTGATTCAGTGTTTTAATCTATAGTAAATCAGATTTTTGCAACCTCTGGAACCCCCCCAGCAGGTTCCTTTTGAGAACCATCTGTTAAAGAACCTGGTATGCCAACTTCAGAGGTTTAATAAAAGCCACAAGTACATGTTGGGTAAACAGGGAGATATTATGGCTAGTTAGCTGGAATACTAGTTGGTGCTATTTGCTCTGAATGAAGTTAACAAGCAGTGTTATCGGTGACTATAAATGTAACTAAAAGGAAAGATTCTACATTATTGAAGGATGTAGCATACATTGGGTATTACAAAAAAGCTCAAAATATATATATTTAAATCAAAATCATAAAAAGAAAATATAAATTTTATTGAAGTTACTCTAAAGTTTTACTGCACTGCTAGAGAATTAGTGCAAGTAGGCCGAGATCAGATTCCTTTAATCTGTTTCAAAGCTGCATGGTGCATTACATAACATGTTTTAATTGGAATGGTCTTACCCCTTGGAAGTGTACAACATGAATTTGAGATATAGTGAATCTCACAATTCTTTCTAACCTAAATATGTCTGTTGTAGAAGGCCAATATAATATTTTATTTGGATGGCAAATACACAAGAAAGTGTACTTGATATGAGGACGGTGTTTTGGACAAAGGCACATTAAAAGAAATAATCTCATGGCACACTTTTCTGTGCCTTTATCAGCACCTTTTAAATACCACATTTACTTGGTATCTTAATGGAGAGAGATCTTCTTTTTGCCAAATTTACAAAACTTGTAATGTTATACGACTTCCAATGACTTCACCCAATTTAAAGGACAACTAAGCTTGAAAGGAAATAACATAATACATTCCATGATCATTATGTGGTAGGTAACAATTGCCAAGCCAGATGATGCAATCTTTACAAAAATAAAACTAGTAATTCAGGGAATGGTATTATGGAGGCATCCTTGTATAAACAAACAAACAAACAAAACAAAAAAGCTTCTGCTTGGCCCTTATAAATATGACCCTTGGATCTAGAAATAGACAAGTCAGAGCAGAACAATGAACAATATTTACACAGATACTAGCACAATTTGCAATTTCTAAACTACAGAGCGTTTTTCATATTAAACTAAAAACCACTGTGTGTGTGTCATAGAAGATATTCCTTTAGGTTTTAAATGCCGGTTGGTTTTTTCGAGTATACTGCTCTGTATAAGAAAGAGGTACATAGCATTTTGAGACATGGTGAATATAACACCATTGTGAAATATTTCCTTACTAGACTGCAGAAAGTTCATGTGGTCTTTTTCTTTTCATTACAGGATTCTTGCCTATGCTTTTTGGTTGCAAGCATGGTACAACTTCTGCTTCTTGTAACAGTAAATCCGACAGGCTTTCTTCTGCTGGCTGCTTCCCTCCTTGATCATTAGGAGCAGAATATCTCTGCAAACAAAATTATAGGGAATGTCAGAATATCAGATTAGAGCAAGAAACCACCCTAATGTTAATCCATTTAAAATGTTGGAGCGGTAAAGGTGCATCCATTGCCAA